AGCCTCAAAAGCGGAAACGCAGTGCACTAGTCGCTTGGGAGAGCAAAGCACAAATCCAGGGAGGAGGTCTTCTTCTTCCACGCCTCTGAGACGCATACGGACTTGATCACCACAGGTTCCAGTGGCAATTTCGTCCTCAGTCTCACCATAGAGAGCAGCAATTTCGACCTTAGTGCGATTAGGCATCATGATGCAGGTGGCGTTCTTCTTGATAACACCAGCTTCGATACGACCCTCAACCATCGTTCCCATATCACGGTACTTCGTGCTCACGGGCATCATGAAGGGGGCGTTAATGTTGCGTTCGGGAGTCTTCATTTCAGCAAGGTACTCCAGGAGAGATGGTCCATCGTACCATGGCGCAAGTTCCTTGGGGACACGATCCTTAATACCCGTAGTCTGCTGGGCGGAAATGGGCATGAAGGTAAGATCGTCCTTCTTGTAACCGAGAGCCTCCAAGAACTTGGAGACCTTAACTGTACACTCATCGAAACGAGCCTTGCTCCATTCGACAGTCGGGTCATCCATCTTGTTGACGGCAACAATCAGCTTCTTGACACCAGTGTTTCGGGCCAGCAGAGCGTGCTCGCGGGTCTGGCCACCCTTCTCGAAACCTGTCTCGTATTCACCCTTACGAGCAGAGATGACAAGCACACCAACATCGGCTTGAGAGGCACCACCAATCATGTGGTGGACGTAGGATTTGTGACCAGGAGCATCGAGGATGGAGAAGTGTCTCTCCACGGGACCGTCGGGAGACTGCACAGTGAGCTTGAAGTGGGCACGGCCGACCTCGACAGTCTTTCCCTTAGCTCGTTCTTCGTTGGTCAAATCAAGAGCCCATGAAAGATACCAGGTCTCTCGACCAGCCTCCTTTGCATCCCTCTTGTATTTCTCCAGTGTCCGCTCATCGACGTTGCCAGTAACGTAGAGAATGGATCCGCCGAGGGTAGACTTTCCAGCATCGACGTGTCCAATGAAAACAATGTTAACGTGCTCCTTCTTCTCACCATAAATTTCCTTCAAGGTATCTTCGTCCACATCTGCCTGCTGCTCCAAGGCAACAGCATTGGCATCCCGACCAGTCTTGCCGCCTTCACCCCGAGATGGGCTGGATCTGCCGGGGCTCGACCGTCCGGAAGCACTAGGGGTAGGGGACGATTTGCCACTGGCAGCTGCCTTTTGATCTGCCTTCTTTTCTGTCTTCTCAATAGCCTTAGAAGCCGTCACCTTGGCGGCCGCATCGGCAGCGGCAGATCCCATAGTATCTCCTGGAGTCGTTGTGCCCGACGGGGTGTTCGACGCGGGAGAGGGAGTTCCAATGGAAAGCACCTTGGTTTTGGGGGCAGCAGAAGAGCTGCTAGCACCACCAATAGACAGAACTGGAGCGGCGGATGCGGTCGAGGCGGGCTTGGGAGCGGTTTGGGCAGGCTGAGCAGGAGCTGTAGGTGCTTGAGTAGCTACCGGTGCCGCTTGACGAGGCTGCTGAGTATATTGCTGCTGCTGCTGCTGCTGCTGCTGTTGGTTGTAGCCACCATACTGGTTGTTGTAGATCTGGTTATAGCCACCAGGTTGCTGGGCGTAGGCGCCATATTGACCATAGCCTTGCTGCTGCTGGTCGTAAGCGGGATAACCACCGTACTGGCCATACTGTGGGTATCCGCCGCCGTACTGCTGGTATGTTTGGCCGGGGACAAACGAAGCCGCACCAGGTTGGAAAGAGGCAGCCCCGGGTTGGAACGAGGGAGCTTGTGCCTGAGGGCGGTATTGTGCGCGGGCATTCAGGTTTACGCCCTCGGTCTGCTTCGAGAGCTCATCTTCCCAGGAATCGGGGGTCTGATTGGCCATCTTGGGATCTCGTGAGAAGGCAACCACAAGTAAGCTGGGAAGAGCGAGGGTTAGGTGAGGTTACAAGCACGACGCCGTCAAAGTGAGGGACGCTTTTTGGGAGTATTGATTTTGCACCCGATGACTCAGCATTGGTTCCCCACCTTGGCGCCTGTCACGTCTACTGCGTCTATGAGTTTGCACGGTTTGCACTGTTTGTTTCCGTCTTCTCCCCGCCAACATGGTGGGGTGTTCTCTTTCATAACAATCTGCTGAGGGAAAGTGACTCTTAGGCGAAATTATTTTTGCTGGAGACTAGAAATTGACAGAAATATCTGAGTTTCATGAAACATTCATGTGGTGGAGCCACGCTGGGTGGCTGTTATCGATAAGCCTTTGCCTTCAGGGGCCACACATCCCGGCTGACATCTAGATCGGCTTTCTTTTAGTTGTGCTTCATAGCGAATAAGAAGTTGAGAGGGGCAAATCCACCACGAGCACAGCTCCCTTTTGGCTGTCAAGCAAGATGGACGTCTTCCTGACCAGGGTATGCGCAACTTGTCCTTCGTTTGACAGAGTTCGATGTTGACATCATGGGTAGCTCACCCAGCAGGCAATGAACTATGCCATTCGGTATGGACTGAATCGTTCTTGAAGCGGACTGATAGACCATGTCCTGACTGTAACTCTTTAGCTCAGGGATAGCCATAACTGCCAACTATGCAATGCGACAATCAACTCGTCTGCTCAAGGTGAGCAGTAATACGCCCGGTGGCAGTCAATAGTATGATCGAAACTCATGTACTTTCCGTTCAGAATGTCGAGAACACTGAAGAGAGAGAGGAACTCCTCGCTCTGCAGCACAGGTTGCAAAGCAAAATCCAAGTCCGTCCTCTACTTCATGCGCTCCGTTCTTTGTACCTCATACTTATGTGGTGACCAGGTTATCTCGCCGGCCATTGATATGATTGAGTTGATGTATGCCAATTAGCTAAAGTCTGATTATAACCTACTAACTGCGGAGTTATTTCTAGTGCTGCAAGAGGCAACACATCTCTAGAATCTGCGGTTTCGCTCACGAAAACACTTCGATTGGATATGCAAGCACTCGGGCAGCGATTAGCAAACGCAGCTGCGTCCGAAGAATTGCTACGAAAAGGCGCAAAGTCTCCCAGAGACCGCTCACGTAATGATGCAGAGATCAAGCTCATCGTCAGAGACATCAAGAGACTTCTGACACGAATTGAGGATGCAGTGCCGTTGATGAACTTGGCCATTACCACATCGGGGGCCAGACTATCAACCAATCTTCCAGCGACGGTGTCGCCATCCAGGTTGTTGCAAGCCAGTACCTTTCTTACTGCTGGTGACACTCAGTATTGGATGTCTCCTGCGCAAGCTATCCAAATCGGCCCTACCTTTACCTTGTCGATATACATGCTCTTTGCGGGTCACGTTCGGCCCCAGGATGAAGAGGGCATTCGAGAAACCACGTGGAAGGAGGTCATTCACAAGGCACGCGTGAAGCTTCGGCGAGTGCCAATGGATCTTACATACAATACATCAGCTCCGACTTGGCGAGCTAAACTTCCGGCTGAGGCACGAATAGACGAATACCACTACCAAATGTTGATCATTGAAGATTTGGACGACGGAAGGGTGCACTCGTATGATGAGGATGAGCCACAGCCGGAACCCTACGAAGGAATCCGCCTAGCTGGGATGCGCGAAATTCTCCCGATACACCAGATATCGAAGATCTTCTACGCGGATACGAGCAAAGTCTTAAATATCAATACAGAAGGCGAAGTCAACAACCCGGTGCTGCTATTGAAAAGAGATATAAATGCTATCCCTCCACGGCGTATGCTCGAGCACGACGAAACAGATTCAGTTTATGCTCATGAAGAACAGGATGAAGAGGAAACTAACGAAATCCAGGCGCAGGTGGATGCTCAGTTGAATGGGTCGAATGCTAGAGATCCATTGAATCAAAGTTACAACGAGAACTCTATCCCAGAACACTGGCGCTTGCCGAAAGATCTGGATCCTGAATGGATAGCATTCGAAGTCTATAACGAAGATGAGTCTTCGGACACTGAGTCCGAAGCGGAGGCGCCAGATAGGGAGGACTCCGTAGATCCGCAGATGATGGCAAAGCTATCTCTTGATCCCAAGGACGACAGGTCCGGGCAAACAACCCCAACCTCTTCACAACCTGCCGCCACAACGACCGTCTCGAACCCCCTCTTCAACAACATCCGAACCTCCCTCTCCCTTCTCGAGACACTTCTCCGCTTGATGTCATTACAACAATTCCAGCAACAGTCCCACCTCTCTATTAGCGACGAACTTCTCAACTTTTTCCTCGAGGAATCATCCACTACTGGCGCCGGTGGTGACGAGCAACATCGCCAACGTCTCCGCGCAGACGCGAGACGCAGGGTTGGCTGGGATCCTTACGACGAAAGTCCTGTAAAACGAAGAGGCGAAGATTATCAGTATGGCTGGGCTTCTGATGGGCCTCCAGTCGGTTATTCTCGCGAGGGAAGCGAGTATCCCTACACACCCACTGAGCGGTATCCGGGATACCATTTGCGCTCCCGCGAAAATACGCCAGAAACGCCGCTGCAATCCCGGCGAGCAGGTTCAACTAGGCCTGATGTAAGGCGACAGAGTGCGATGCGGGGCTCCTCGGTCCTCGCCGATGAAGCGTCAAGTAGAGGTTCTCCTCTTTCCAGACGATCGACTCCAGTAGAAGATACTGGGCGCGGGGCTTGAGGAAAATCACGATTGATATTGACGAATATGAGGATGTCATGCAAATGTAGCGAATATAGAATGTTTAAAACATGTGCTCGTAAGGGCAGCGAATAGTTTTGTAGAATATCTTAATAGCTATGGACAACCCTTTCCGTGCCAATGGTGAAGCATACGAGATGCCCAGCTAATAGGGGAAGCAAGTAGAGTGATTGATATCAACAGATAGCCGCTAAGAGCTAATTGAAAGCAAAGAAAACCCATAACACCAGGGAGTATCAAAGACAAACGCCATAACTCACTCCCAAAACACCTGGACGGTGAGCCCAAAAGAGGTGGAAAACAGACGCAATTGAGAACTAAGGGGTAAGACATCAACGGAGAACATGACCAAGGCGATGTGTATCAGCTGCTCATTCCCAGTCTTCGTCGCTGTCGTCGTCCTTGGCCGCAGTCGTTGGGCTCTTCTCCTTCGGGCTGCCAGGCGCACGACTGGTGTTGCCACTGACGAGATCATAGCTGGATTCACTGTCCGGCTGAGACTGTTGGTCGTTTGAGCGCCGGCGTTCGTCAGGCTTGAGCAGCTTATTCTTGTCGACAGTGGGAATCTGGGTTGTATTATTTGTCTTGACCTGAGGAGTAGAGGGAGAGTCGGTGTCGTCGTCGGAGTCGTCGTCCCAAGCAATCTCTTCCTCTTCATCCACATTGGCGCCTGCAATAATTTCTTGTCAAAATTCCGGAAAAAAAGCAAGGTGGGGTGGCCAGCAACAAACCTTTAAGAAGTTCCTTGCGCTTCTGCTCTTCGGTCTCAATCACGAGGCGGAGGAAATAGTACCGAGACCAGAAGGTTGCATAGTCGACCTGCTCAGGAACAAGCTTCTCCATGGCCGATCGAAGCTCGGGGTACTTCTCCAAATCCGCGGCGATGGCCTCTGTCTTGTTGTCTACGTTGAACTCCTCCTTGAACGGGGCCCACTTGTCACTGACAGGGTCCTTGGTGAAGCTCTCCAGGTTGGAATGGATAACATGCAACTGCGCCTCAAATCGGGTCGCATGAATAACTCTTTTGCCCTCGGCATCCTTACTCTCGAAAAGGATTTTGTTTGACGACTCCGCGTCGGGCGGCACAATGCTGACCGCATCCCGCAGCTTTTGACCAATAGTAATACCAAAGCGCAGGATCGCTTCATCCGCAGCTTCCTCGGCCTTCTCAATCTCCTTCAGTCGTCTTGCAGCCTCTGCTTTGAATCGGGAGAGGAAACCCGCGCTTGAGCCCGCGTCGCTGGCACCCTCGTCCTGACTTTCTCCCGCTCGGGACGCAGTAGGCGTCGGCGTCTCATCCTTACTTCTCTCCGACGACGCAGAAGTAAAAGCTGTACTTAGCGACAGGCCTCGCGTGCGTCCAACGATAGTCTCTTTCAAGTCCGAAAGGCCCTTGGCGGCCTCCTCGCTGGCCGCGGCGTACTCTTGCCTGGCTCCTTCATAGTAACTCTCGCCTTGTTTGCGGACATTATCCCACAGCCCACCAATCTTTATTCCCCAGGGGCTCGCGGAAAAGGCGCGGAATGTCTCTTGCAGTTCGGTGTTGAGGTCGACGTTGGATCGGTTGGTTTTGGAGTCGTCTTGTGAGCCTTCTTTCTTCGACGACTCATTGGTGGAGAAGATCTCCTCTTGAATATGATCGTATGCAATATCCATGGCTTTCTTGGCGAGTCAATATCGCAATAAAAGAGGCGATAGCTCTGCTGGAATGAACTGAAAGAGACCGTCCTCGATGACGGTTGCGGAGGAGTTACGGTAGCTGCTTGTTGTTGGTGGATCTGCATGGCGCTTCCGTTCGGGCCTTCGGGGCGTACGACGGACCGAACAATCATGAGATACCCCACTGAGAGTTCCACCTTGGAACACTTGACGATATTGACTACGAAGAGAATCAACAATTGAACAAGATACAGACACCAGACTGATCATGAATGTATGGGTGCATTTCGTAATTCATCACGTTAAGCTATGTACTATGTATCTGTCAAGCTGTAGGGTTCTCCAACACTGTCCTGACTGCCCATCCAGAAACCCGGCACAGGAACACTCTCCATGACACTGGAGGTGAGAAGTTGGCTGCGGGACAGCATACCTCTAGGACGAGGGTCTTCATCTGGATCAGCCTGCCTTTTGAGGCGATCCACTATTTGTGAAGACTCTACCTGTACCACGCTCTGAGCACTGTTCTGAGGGAGTATAACATCGCCTGTACTCGCATAGTCTCCGTGCCGTCTGACAGGCGAGGATTCCGGGATCATCTCCGTCGAATATTTGTCCAGGTCTTGAGTTTGGCTCTGAGTCTGCGTCTGCAAGGAGGGATCAGATAATGCCTGAACCTTTTGAGCGGACGACTTGGTGCACGATGTCTCAGTCATGGTTTGCTGAATGCTGGATTCCTGTGGGAAAAGCTCCGCCAGCTTCTGGGTGCTCAGCGTAGGTATGGGTTCTAGTGGGAATTGAGTGGCAGGCTGTCGTCTTTGATATAAGATTGATGCCTCGGATGACAGATTGGTTTCAGACTGTAAAGGCCCAGGCTCATCTTCCAAGCCAGGATGTGATATAGGTGGAGGGAGGTCTTGGGAGTCACTGAGTGGTGATCTGTCTTCACCCTCGTCATCTTCATCCTCAAATGGCATCGCATTCGGCTCGTCATTCGGCCCAGCCACTATCGGCTCATCATCACTGTAATCCGTTTCGGCGTCCGTTTCATATACTACTGTTCTCTCCGTACTCGGTGGAGGTTTGTCAGAAGCGGATGGTCCCTTTGCTGAATCCGATCGTGTCTCTTCAACATCAAAATTCGTTTCATTATCAACAGTCAGCTCGGACGGCGATTCAAAATCGGGTATCATGGTCGGCGGCAATTGATCTTCAGACATTGACACATGCCTGGCGCTTATATTTGTCTGGATCAAACTAGGCGATTCTTCTTTGATGGTAGAAGTGGGCTTGGTCGAAAAATCAAGGTTGGGAGGTGATCGAGTAGCGTTTCGAAACTGTGATGATGAAATAATCGCAACCCCAGGACTTTCAGGTGACTGCGAGGAAGGTATTTCAGACTTCCATGGTTTTCGTGGTGTCTTCGGGCTTCCTTTCAAGACTTTCTTTTCCGGCGTCGACGTACTGGACAAGACTCCTTTCATATCCTCCTCAGCCTCCAGTTTCCTCTTCTTGCTCGAGCTTAAGGATTCTTGGGCGGTGGCATCCTCAGTGGGCGCAGACTCAAGCCCACGAGGGAGTTTTCCTTCGACTTTCTGGATATTGTTCTTCTTCGGAGTGATATAGGTGTACTCCAGCTTCACTTCATCATCAGGCTCGATCTTCAGGTAACGCCGCACGTAATCCATCTGGGTGAGTGTCTTGTCCTTTTGCTGCTTCTCCGTCTTCTTCTTGCTGCTCTTGACGCTTTCGATACTCTTTCTTCCGGACCGCTTTTCGGCTGAACCGGCTTGGCCTGTACTCCTCCTCAGACCTGATGGATTGCGCGCAGCATTTGATCTTCGTTCGGCGTCCCCGGTACGCCGTGCCCGTATATATGACGTTGGTTGATAACTAGCATCATCATCGGAATTGTCATCTAACTCGATCACCTGGCGACTATTCGGATTATTATCTGGAGCGGCATTATTGATGTAATCGAGATTGTCATCATCATCGGATTCGGCGTTCTGTGTCCTCGGTGTCACAAAGTCAATCTGTGTAAGTGTAGGTTGATCCCTGGAGAGCAAGCTCCCTTTCCAAGGCTTAGACGCTGAGGCCGAGGATATTGGAGTCGCACTGTGCTTTTTTGATGTTGTCGTCCATGTTCGCGTATTAGAGGTGGTGGAAGAACTTGATATAGGAGGCTTGTTCGGCGTTCGAAATTGTTCCTGGGCAGATTCTGCGTTTGTACTTGGCCTGTCACCTTGTCTCATCGCAAATCGAAGAAGCTATATCAGTATTTGAGGAACTAAAAAAAAAGCGAAATAAGACCATAAGTCCGGAGTAGAGTTGCGGCTGTGGATGGGTCATAATGCATAAAGCTTTCTTATCGGGCGGTTCGCGTCGTTTGACGCGTCTGATCCCTATGACATCGATAGTGGTCCGTGCACACATATATCCAGTTCTAGGCAACAACTCGTCTAGGTAATCATAATAATAATTCAGACTATCTGTCAGCTCTACAGTAATAGGGTATCTATTGACAAACCGCCTATACATCATGTACACATAATCATGAACTAATGATCAAAAATCGTACGAGCTCATACTAGCCACTCTGGAATCGCATCCTCATCTTCGGGATCATGCGACAACAATGACCCATTGTCATCAACTCCTGATGTCTCGTCTATTTCCTCTGGCGTGGGAGTTCGCGACTGCGTTTGCGATGCTGCCCGCGACAGTATCTCAACGCTAGCTGATTTGGAGCCGCCTGTTGTTGATGAGTGGACCATGATGGGAGCGTCCGATGAGCCTGCAGGACCAGTCTCCCCAGAGCTCTTAACACTCTCGGCTTCTGCCGCTGGCTCAAGCCCCACAATCTCAGGCGACTCTCCGTGCTGCTGTTGGAGTTGCCGTTGGGATGTGCCGTTCTCATTGCTGTCTGCTTTCTTATTAGGAACGACGATAAGGCTATAACGAGGACGTCTTGATGGCTTGGGAATGTCCCTTGCGGAAGGATTCCCAGAGATTGCTTCTATGTGGCTGGCACTCTCGTCAGATTTGAGTCCACCACGGTGCGCTTCATCTCCCAGGGCTCCATTATTTGTCGATGCTTCATTGTATGTATGTCCTCGAGGCTCTTGTTCGGTTGACCGTTGATAAGTCAAAAATTTTCCTGTGTCGGCCATTTCCTGCTCTGGTTCGGGAATAAATCCGCCACCGGCTTCCTCTGGATCCTCGTAGTCTTCAGAGATCTCACCAGCGCTCTCTTCTCCTTCAATGGCATAGCTTTTGACCCTTTCTGCAATTCGCAGTTTTAGAAGAAAATGCTTCCACAACCGTAACATCTCTCTCGATTTTTCCTCGGACTCAGCTTGTCTTCTCTCGTCTTCAAGGTGATCCAAGACCTCTTCAAGCGCCTCCTGACACTCGCTGGCGACAACAACCCCTTGAAAAACAGCAGTTCCATGTCGGCCTTTGAAATCAAAACCTGTAACTGCGTCTGCGTAATCAATGCCAAGGACCCTGGCTGCATGGGCAGCTTGAGGATGCTTTATGTGAACGCCCCCAGGAGGAACCATACTCGGTACATAGACATCGAGGTTCCCATAAGAGTTTTTAGGTACCTTCCCCTGCACAACAGCCGGCGGCGTGTGTACCTCAGTTTGAAAATATGCATACAGAGGAATCTCCATGCCGCTTTCATTGTCGTGCTCGTCTTCGCTGAAACCAACATCCTTGTTTCTGTTGACTTGAATATGTTTCAATGGTTGTTCGCCGATTTTGATGTCTCGTCCCAAGCGATACCATTTGTCCGCACTGCGGACAACATGAACATCGCTACGGCGGTACACCGGCACCAACACCTGGTCCTTCGATCCCGACTTCCCAAGACTGACTTGACCAATGACGCGTTTGGGGAAAACGACTTCATTCCGTCGAAGCTGTCGCTCAATCGCGTATATCGGGTGATCTTTAAAGTCTTGCACATTTCGCGGCATAGGCTCGGCAGCAGTTTTCGCTGTCAGTTCGCTAATTTCCACCTCGTCTCTGTCCTCCAAAAATGGCTTTTCGTAAAAACGCATCGTCATTGCCCACCATCTCTCTCCATCTTTTGTAGATTCAACACGGAGTTTGCGTGTTTTCGCATTAAATGCTTTTGCATAGCGCCTGGTAACGTCTCTTGCGGACGCATCCTCTTCAAAGCCGACTACATAACTCATGCAGTTTGATGGGTCACTGAAGGGCGGTTCAAACTTAGATGGTTTTGCAATCGTTTTGGTAACCAATGGGTCGACGGGGACCCATTTTTGGACAGCTTCGTTGAATGCTTCAACCCAAAATACCGGGTAAGGCGAGGCTCGAGGGGTGAATCCCGGATCTTTGAGAAGTCAGTAATTAGACAAGCGGGATAGTGGTAGACACGTTACCTGGAATAGAGGTCTTCTGTGGACGTGCTGGGGTGAATTGTGGTCGTCCAAGTCTTCGAGACGTTGACGCCGGTGTCGGTGAGACGCCAGACATCTGTTGATCATCTGCTGACGTGTCATGGTCATCGGACGATATAACAATATACTGTGAACCTGGTTTGTTCGGCGTCATGTTCTTCGTTGTCCCAGAAAAGGGCAAGGGCTGGAGTGAGCAGACCAGCCTCGCTTCCACAGCTGCGGAGCGTAGAAGAGCACAGAACAACTGAGTACCAAAGTCACGAGAGCCCTGCATCGTCCTAGCCTGCTTGCAAAAGTCTTCTTTTGACAACAAGACTTCTGCATCGGACATAATAGACTCCTACAGTGATGTGAGGAGCGGTGGCTACACTGCGTGGAGCTTCGAACACATACCACTTTTTGCTTCAACTTTTCAGGGTCATCTACCCAATGGGCTCCCTTCAAGCCCGGTCTATTCACTCTAAACCTCCTGCTAAAAGCATCACTGGCTTGATTCAGCCCATCAACAAAGGTCGTAGACCGGCTGTACTGTGGTTTGTCCTCTGCTGGATTTAACATGGCTATCACTTGCTTGGGTAACATCCTCTTGAGAAAGCTCTAAATTGGATGTTAAAATCGAGCGGACCGAGGAGAGGATACCATTCATGCTAGGCGTTTGGTTGCGTACCTGTAGTTCATCGTCATTGCACCATAGATTCCGTATTTGAACATGGCGCAGGAGACAGAGCACATGAACTTTGTGTATATCTAATCGGAGCCTTTTCTCGGCAGCGGTGAGTGGCTTTTGCCTTGAGATTACTTTCCGCCTCTTTCCTTCATGATTGTCGAGAGTGATCTGAAGTGGTTCATTATCGCCCCCTGTCACTGGAGCTATCTGAGTCGACCGAGCTGGGACTTGCTGAAGGTCAACTTCTTCCCACTCCATATCGGAGTCTTCTGACGTGGGCTCGTCATAGACGGTCTGTACCTGCCAGCTGGCTTGGCCTTGATCTTCCATTGGCAGTGGTACTTGGGGTACAGAAACAATATCAGAAGTTGTAGCTCTCTGAGCTCCAACCTTTCGTTTCTTGTTAGGATGGTCCGCTTCGGAGACATCTGGACTTCGCAGTTCTGCTTCAGCGAGCATTTCCCGGTAGACTTCAGGTATTTCATCTTCTTCCTCGCGCCCCTCGGGTCGACCGCGAGAGATTCGGCCCCTCGCCGAGCGGCCAGGAAGTGCACGGCGCATGATGCCGGAATTCTTTGAGCGGCAGCATGAAGCAATATCTATATCTGGCCTCACAGATCTATAAGCGCCGCCAGAGTCACATATATCGTGTTACTGCGCTTCTTGGGCGACGAAATTTGTTCGACCCATTTACCTAGCATCACCTCTCTGTGACCAAAATTGAAAGCATATATAGGTTTTTGCTAGAGCAAGTTCCATGGCAGAGTCAGATGCAGGAGCCCAGAACAGCAATATGCGTCATATCGGAAGATTGTTGATCCATCCCGAATACTTGGATGTCCAAATTGGGCAATATTTGCTCGCAATCTCCCAAATACCTATCCCGAGTTTTGTAATCACGGTGCTTAATAGAGAATGTCGGAGGTTAGATTCCTTTGATAAGTCAGAAAGGCTTTCCCGGTTGCGAAACTTCAATCGCGATTATGTAAATGCTACGTAGTGGAAAGCAACAGAAAGACGTATGGAATTTGCGTAAAAGACCGTCCGCGATATACAGGTACCTGTTGATCATGGATGATCTCGGCACCATGAGTCCCAGCCGAAGGGCAACCGTACAGAGTCATATCGTCTTGTAGGCCAGGCTCTCAGAGCTTACTACCTACTATGTAGCTGTTCTCGGAGGAAAGCGAGCTCTGAGTTCAGGATTGCGTCACTGAAACTGTCGTGCCACATCGCTTCGTTTGTCGAGAAATCCAGCCTCTCGCTATTTTATGTTGCTTTGAAATCTTTCATTCCGAGCTCATGGCAGTAAGGTGTCTACTCTGCACCTGTCGTGGCCATACCACTAAGCAACTCACTTTCTCTAGACTGAAGCATTAATCAGCCGCCATGCTTACAAGAAACTGGAGACTCAAGGAGCCATTACCTTGGGTTAGCTCGAAGCTATTCTGCGCAAAACGTCGCTCCCTGACACAAGTTGTCAATGTGCAGAACGTACCTACTGTAAGCGGCGCCTTGTGCTGAAGTCAAATCGAATCGTTTGAATGATGTGAGCGCTAAAGCTCATGAAAGGAAGATGACAAGCCCTTTGACGTCCCTATACCAGAAGACAGCTTCGAGACGTATCATTTTGACCATCCCCCATACACAGTAGGAACCACAAAAAGGCAGCTCAAGAAGATGTACCAAGACATGCTTACGATAAGGTGAAATATGCCTTTAGGACTATTGATGCTCTGTAGTTGACCTATTCACAGACGAATGGAAATCGCTGCTGACACTCTTTACAAGCAAAAGAAGATTCGAGGATTTTGTCATTTGTCAACTGGCCAAGAGGCAGTCGCTGTTGGCATTGAATATGGCATCAGCAAAGAGGACAAATTAATCACTGCATACCGCTCTCATGGATTCACATTTATGCGAGGGGGGAGTATCAAGTCAATTATTGGCGAACTACTTGGACGGCAGGATGGCATATCCCACGGCAAAGGAGGCTCTATGCACATGTTCTGTGAGGGCTTCTTTGGGGGTAATGGCATCGTGGGAGCTCATGTACCAGTCGGCGCTGGAATAGCCTTTGCTCAGCAGTACAATGACAGGGATAATGTCACGATTGATGTGTATGGTGACGGAGCAGCAAACCAAGGTCAAGTCCACGAGGCTTTCAACATGGCGAAATTGTGGAACCTGCCTGTTTTGTTCGGGTGCGAGAGTCAGTTCTTCTAGACACCTGGTGCCTAAGTCACCGTGCCCGACCCGTCTTCTGCTAACAGGTATCTAGATAATAAGTACGGCATGGGAACCTCTGCTGAAAGAGCGTCTGCAATGACTGATTATTATAAACGTGGTCTATACATCCCTGGGTTAAGAGTGAACGGTATGGACGCCCTGGCAGTAATGGCGGCGGTAAAACACGGCAGAGAGTTCATTCGAGCTGGAAATGGGCCCTTGGTCTATGAGTATGTGACATATCGGTACGCCGGGCACTCAATGAGTGATCCTGGAGTCGCATACCGGACTCGCAAAGAGTTAAAGGCGGAGCGTGCGAATGACCCAGTTTCAAACTTTCGGGGGAAGCTGATAGATTGGGGCGTCATCACGGAGGACGAAGCAAAAACAATCGATAAAATGGTGAGAGAAAAGGTAAATCAAGAGGTGACAGAAGCTGAGAAGATGCCGGAACCTGAGCCGAGACTGGATGTTTTGTTTCAAGATATTTACGTCCGTGGGAGTGAGCCTGACCAGTATCGAGGACGTACCGTGGACGAGACGCACTATTAGGTTAGATGCATGCGAATCAGAAGTTGTCACTCACCTTGGAAAGCGAGCGACCCAAGGATGCTGTTGCTGATATCGAAATCACCGCGTAAAGTCAAATCTGCTCTGGAGACGTAATGGATGCTTCTTCAGACGTCACCATGATCTGTGTTGCGGTCCATTCTGACCTTTTAAATTGCGGTCCAAATGCATATCAACCTCAAAACACCTTCACCCTCTTTCAGGAGAATCACAGTCCAAATAGCCATATCTGAGACTCATGTCGTTCAACTACCCAGCTCTCGCGACTCCGGCACGGTGCACTGCCGACTTCTCTCTGATTCCAGTCGGTGTAGTCTAGGCCACATACTCGTCCCGCTCCTCAGCTAATCCTCCACTATAGATTGGAACTCAGAACGCTTCTTTCTCTCAGCAGATCGCGGATATCCAGCGGTTGTTGATGGAGGCCAGTCAGCAGACAGGTCTCAAGTACCAGATGAATCCCACGGGAACAACAATTGGTAGGTATCGGTTTTGTTTCAGCTTGTGAACTCGCAGCGACTAAAAACCTAATACGCAGAGGGGTCGTGGGATCAAGTCGTTCAGGTGATTGGTTTCGCCCACACGTTGATTCACCAGGAAGGCGTCCCCAGGATTCAGACGGATATTCGTATCTCGACCAGGTACGTTTATTCGCATTTCGCGTCGAATACACGGACTAGAAAGGCTCATTGTTTTGTAGGACGGACAAGGTTCAGCCGATGGAAGGTAATCTTGTATCTGTGCAGAGAATCCTGTCAGCTTGATTCATGGAAACGCGTTGGAGGGTGGATGGATAGTCGACAAGCCTTGGTAGCGTACCACAGTACTGAACTGGAATCTTCCTTCAATAGTAGGCATCTTAGCTTTTGCAGAAGTGAGTCAAATGGCAGTTGATGAACGCGTTTTATCCATCATAGAACACGTATACGACCTTAGTTGCAGGTACCCGTCAGCTGTTGACTGTAGATCTGGTGCCTCCTCAGTAATGAGCTGAAGCTGAGACCGATGGCACTTTGCCCTTTGGAGCCATCCAACGTCTAGAGCAGGTTAAGGTAATAGGAAACATATCGGAGGTTTGTTGAGGACGGATCTCCTGGCATTCATTTAGTACTAAATAGGATCAGATAGTCTCACACAGTCAATTAGTGATGAGAATGCTGAACAATGGGCTGATTCGTTGGGTTTGCCCTTCTTTCAGAACTCAATACCCAGGGTAGTACTGTTCCCAGTAAACTCCAAGCGTCCAGGTAGCAGATGGAATCCTGAATGGTCTACTCCGTGCGGAAAATCAACAACAGCGTCATGACGCCATGGCTACCCTTCAGTGTTTAGGAACATCCCTTGTCTTGTGGCCTACAGGGTCTTGCAAGCTAATCACTGGCAGCTGTCTGAGTATTTCCAATGACCTGAGCTGGCTCCTTTCCTTCGCAACTCTTTTATAGCTATTAGATCTAATACTGTCGACTGATAGAACCCAGCCAGTGTCCCTAACAACTCTCTCTAAGTTCCCATACGACGTCCACTTAGTGAAAGCATGTCGGATCTCTAGATTTGCTTCAATTACCGCGTTTCAGTCACAACAATAATCTTTATTGGTTGGATACATTTGGTATCCAGACTCGTCCAGCAGTGTTACGAATCGGGTCCACGGTGGGACTTGGCTTTTCCTGTTTTAGACTTCGAAGTTCTGCTCCAGTGCTTCATCGGCGATGGAGGGCCAAGCGAGAGGCTAGGGTTCTGTGTTTGAGAGTCTATGTACCTGGTATGGTCTTCCCTTCTAAAAGTGGTACAAGCCAAGGCTGTGAGTATGATATAGCACAGTTGCATTCAAACTGAGAAGATGCCTGATAACTCAATTGCACCTGGGATATATTGTTTAAAGAAGAATGGATGGAAGTGGTTAATAGTCAGATAATCACTGGGAAGCTAAGAACAGTTTACATGAAACGGTTTGTTCTATCCTGCTTCTACACAAATCTAGACACATGGCTGTGTGCTCCGACTGACCCTGTAAGAGTTACCAGTTTGCGCCACTGGAGGTTTCTAATTGCGGGAATACCAAAAAAGATTATTAGGTATCAATGAAATACCATGGGGTGCAAGTTATGATTTCTAAGTCTTGCCGCACGGGATCATTGACGACCCTTTTTTTTCTTCAGCAGTGGTCTTCGCTCTACGTAGAGGGCAAATGTCCTGCATGCGATCAGACTAGCGATCTCGAGAGACATAGAACTTTCACTCGGAGAATTGTTGTTGTTAGGATGATCTGGGACGGCAGAAGAATTGAGTGCTCGATGTTATGGACCAATGTAAAGTGAAAAAGCCGTTGAGGTGACCTGACTTGGGTCAATCGAAACAATGTTAAGGCAGCAAGATCTTGAGCATATCAACTTTAGCCCATCAAGGACGAGGAAAGAGCGAGATTGACGATTGCACTGATGCCCAGGTAAAGTTCAGCGGAGGCAGAGGCTAGACGGGGGTCTCCTGGGAAATCTCAAACCCGAACCGTGTGTAAGTAGCTGGTGCTAGCCATCTACGTACTTGAGACTAGTCCGATTTCTCAGAAATAATCATTCGCACATCCACAGTAAATCAAGTACTGCCACGAAGTGTGCAGCGAGGTGTCTCGTCCATCACAGGAGAGATCCATTCTCGTTCCCACTTCCTTTTCCCAGCCACCGTCCTTATCCCAGTACGGTAGCCTTGCAATTTGCAGTGGTCTCCCCGAGTAACCTGTCATTGTTGACTACTGAGGCTAGGATTATAGTATGACCACCTGGCCAGTGGCCAGTGGCCGGTGGATTACATCAATAAGCCAGTCTTCTGATCAACGGACAGGGTTGCCGTTTCGGCGCGACGGCGACGAGAATACCAGTAGCAACCGAAGAGGACAAAAATACGTGATTTCATTCCTTGCTATCAAGAAACACCATTGGGCTGACTCATTTTCAACGGTACATCCTTCGAAGTTTGAAGGCCATCACTATCYGAATCTGGATATGCCTAATAATGCTTGTGTCCCACCAGATAAAACTGTCTGCGTACTTTCCTTGTCGACCATAGTAGATAGTACAGTCCATACTCCATACACAAGTTTGCATGAACTTTGTGGGTCTGACAAAGGAGCCACTGAGCCAGGCCGTCTCGTGGATGCAAGCCAATGAAAGGAAACTAAGATGCAGCTGCCTGTTTTCGCCATCTCTTGAAAAAGAGGCAAATGAGGTACTTCTTACTCCGTACTGCTGCAAGACTGGCCATAAATAACACTCTGAGCAAACCTTCAGAAACAGGCCAACGATAACAATACAATTACTACCCACTGCCCCAAACTATCACGGCCCAGTCACAGTACGATCGGAGATAAACGCCCATTTGACGGAATATGTCAGTACTGGTCACGACTCGGCGAACAAAAACTCCGTGGCATTTCCACCGCTCATCAACTCCATCTTTGTGGCGTAGGTTCATCATTCAATCTGCTCCTAGAAGGGGATCATAGAGTGAGCATCACCAGTGGCATGCTTGTCAAGCGAAGCAGCTTTCTGACTTGATTTTTCTAAGGATATGCAATGCTTTGCGGATGCCGTCACTGTAGTGTGAAACTCATGTCATTAATTTCAGGCCTCGGGGATCGTGTAACTCTTAGTATGAATAATATCCCTTACCAGGCTAATACTCCTCCCCATTGGTGTCGAACGAGGATTTTGGACAGAGAATGGAGAAGATACAGATAAAAGTGCACTTACCTACGGGGGCGATGCGGCGATCAGAAGTACTTACGGAGTACTTTCGAGTCCCTTTCCTGGATCCTGGGTTCTGAACTAACTTGTTATGATGAGGATGGTTGCCTTTCCCCTCTGATATAAGTTTCTCGTAATAAGAAAAACATGCGAATACTTCAGAGAACGTCTTTCGCTTCTGCATCTCCTCATAATGCTAGAGTACGAAGTATGAAAAATGAATAATAAATAGCTTGACTGTCCTACACCGCAGTCCGTACTTAACAAATAATAATCGACAAGGTACTCGGTTCCACAAATTGGCCTTCGCTACCACCGAAAACGAACAGTCCCAGAGTTCTGTTCGGTTGGGTAACGAGAATTTGGAATCATGTCGTTCGCCTAGAGCGGCAAGCAGAGCAGCCTGTCGGCGTCGAATCAAGATGGAATGGTGGGACGGGCGATGTTCCCTAGGTACAGTACGGAGTAGGTTAATTCCCGTCTTGTCCCGCCGATGCTGGAAGGTTGGAGTGGGTCAGGGGATCCGACAGACTGGATAGTTCAGCGGTAAACTCCGTTCACGGACAAACAGTAAAACACTCAGTGTCAGGTGTCCTGTGGTATCCTGCAATAATCGAACGGTATGGTAAAAGCAATCTGCACTGTGTCAAGAAGGTAATCAGATTAAATGTGATGCAGCTACTTTTGGGAGTAAACCTGCTAACGCTGACACAGCGTGGATTACACAGAAACGAGACACCATGCAGAAAGGGATGCATTGGAATTCAGCCCACTCGGATAATAGGAGAATGACCCATGGATGCGAAATTCCAGCACAATGGCACCAGCAGCCATTGGATCACAGTCTTAGTTGACGATCATCTTCCGTTTATGCTACAAATTGCAGCTAACTTACGGTCTTACCTCTTACCTTAGCTTTGCTGATCTTGGTATTATTATTATTCTTAGTTACTTCGTACTCTGTACAGCGGGAATTCGCCGGGGGTAGAAGCTGGATCCATTAGTGGTATTTGATTTTTCTTCACTAGAGAGGTACTTGCTTCACTAATAACTAATAATAAAAAATAGTGGTTTGAGTCTTTACTCGAGTATTAACAACCGGCGCAAAGGGCTTTTCAGCGTCCAGCGCTTACGTGGAATGACAATTACTATGAGGGAAATCCCCACCAGCTGCTGGACCTAATTTGGCCCCTTTCTCACGCCGTAGGGAGTTTGTGTGGGATGTTCTTGGGACGTATCGGCCCTGTTGATTCTGATATCAATAATGTGGTTGATAGGACATACTTGGCAGCTCTTGAGTAATTCTCAACTTGCTTGAAATGATATTGTTCTTTACAGCCAGAAAGTTAATTTGATACTCCGTACTAATATTTTTCTATCGATAGTAACATTGACTGATTGTGATCTTAGCCTTACCTACTACTAAGATACGTATGTACCTGTGGTCCTCTTTCTTCTTGTTTGGTTATCCTATCGATTGTCTTCCCGAATCCCGGACTGCTGGGACGTCCGTGCTTTTTGGCATCACCCAGTCTCTGATTTCCAATTCCAGAGCGGAGGAACCAGGACTATGGCTCTGATAACATCCGTAGTAGTACCCATTCGGAAGGCTGACAAATTCTCGTCGTATAGACTGGCGAGTTCTTGTATTCTTGTAGTACCTATCTACAGGTTCAGATTACTCCAATTCCACTCTTTGAAGCCTCATCCTTTCAATATTAGAAGTCAAGAAAGCACTACTGATGAATCTGCAACTAAAGACCAGATTGTTCGATTATCGTTGCAACACAGATCGTTCCCCATGAAGTCTACGGCCGAAATACTACGCTCTCCAAAGTACTAACCAATCCTTGGAAATACTCCATGTCTAATAACAGTTCCCTGGGAAGAGTGGTCTCTTATCTCCATCTGAGATCGTGATGAAATTACTGAGGACTGCTTGCTGTACAAAAACCGCCCACTGGCACCATCTGAAGTCAGGACTGATATGGTATGAAGAATCATTGATTATCAGAACAATGACTGTGAAGGAAGTGGCGGATTTCACTATATTTAATCCTCCGCAAGCCCAAGGAGATAGCCCCGCTAGTCAGTAATCTTGTTACAGTCCGTAATAGTCTAAACTAGAGGTTTATGTGCAGCAAAATTAATTATCAGATTTACAGTCACTCCGGTGGCAAGAAAATCAGTTTCTCAATGAACTTTGTACGGCAAATTATGTTCAGGAAATCTTACACACAAGTGACGAAGGCTTGAAATTAAAGCCTGTGGCTGCAAAGCAGCGCTTTATTCATAAGGGTAGTTTGTTACCAGTCCACTCTCCTCCATCCCCATCCTTTTTCCAGTACTACCTACCTACCTAATTACAAACCTAACCCAGCCTGTCGGGTTCAGGCCTTCAGAGCATCGGGGAATCAGGGCGGAGGGAAACTGAGGTAGCATTAGGTCCAGTTATTTCCACCTGATGCTAATTTGCAACCGTCATCGCCTGTTTCTCTATCCGTTCGATAACTATTACTACTTATTTTCTGAATTTCTTCCCTTTTCCCAGTTCCCACTTCTTCCCCCGTCTAGCTTGTTATCCACTGGCTGAACTCTGAACTGGCCCGCTAGCACAACAGCACACTTGACGGCACCTTAGCAAGCTAGACCTTAAAATAATATTGATCCTCAAGATCAGATGGAAAAAAGGAGCATATCCAGTCTCAAGTGACACATTGGCTCCTACTTCGGTTGTTGGATATCACCCCACTGGAACATATCTGGTCGTCGTCAACACAAATTCGACGATAACTGCAGCTGCCCCGTATCGACGACGACATTGTCATAAAGAAAAACGAAGATAGACCGACCGGAGGAACGACGGTAGAAAACAGAAAAGGATCAAGACGGTTATCAAATTGTCTGCTTCACAGTTTACAACTTTACATATTTTTCTTTACCTCCCCCCACACGAGAACCGGTCCCGAGATTCCCAGAATAATGTTTAGACCCATTGGAACCGTGGGCGCGGATTCCCTTGTAAGCATTTTCCTTTTGTGTCCTCGTGGCATCTGTTATTACCACCCATGCCTTGGCCGTCGCTTGCTTGCCCTACTGCTCGGCTGTCCTCTGCAGCGTGTTCTCTTTCAGCAAAACCAATATATTCCATGGGATGCTAACAAACAATGTGCCAGGAGTCGAACCGTCAGTAGTAAGTAGTTGCTTGTTTCTTACCGTCTTTGTGGAAACTGCAGCTGGCATCGATCCGGATGGAAAGGAGTATAGAAAGAAAAGACGATTAAATCGCTTGTGCTACGCTGACACTGAATTCTGCTGTAGTGACACGCAGTCGTTGACTGCGAGTGTAACTGACTATCCCACGGAGAATGGAAGACGATACCACAAATACCATGAGGGCTGTATGTTTTCAGTCCCGGTCTCTTTTCACTGCGTTGTCTGATGTAAATCTAGCATACGTTTACCCGAACGATGAGCAGGAATTGGATCGGTTAGACATGCAGCACCATATGGTCAAACTGGTCAACGATGGACGACTGTTCTTCGCTCCCATACATAGCCCTAAACGAATCCTCGATATCGGTACTGGATCTGGCATATGGCCCATAGAAATGGGTGCGTCTTCCTCCTGTCACACCGTCGCTTACTCCCAGGCAGTTTCTTACTTTTCCATCGCTCCTGTAGCATCCATCTTCCCTGAGGCCGAAATCACAGGTACTGATCTGTCACCTGTTCAACCGACCGAGGTTCCCAATAACGTTCACTTTCTCGTTGACGATGCCACCGAAGAAGACTGGCTATGGGACGCAGACCACTTTGACTTGATTCACACAGCCCATATGATTGGTTCGTTCCCATCGTTCAAGGATGTCTTGCGCAAGGCATTCAAGCATCTCAAACCTGGCGGTTATATGGAGTGCCACGAGTTCGACCCTAAGCTTAAATGTGACGATGGTACCATGCCTCCCGAGAATCCTGATGGCTTTTGTGAATATGCTTTGCATGATTGGGTCGATCTCAATGTGCGCTCAAGCCAGGTTACAGATCCCCCAAGACAATTTCGCATCGCTCATCGTATTGCGCGCTGGATGAAAGAAGTCGGCTTCGTCGACGTTCAGGAACGCATCTCCAAAGTTCCGACCAATCCATGGCCTGAGGATCCGCACCTGCGTACAATCGGCACTTGGAATGAGACAAATTGGCTAGAGGCTCTGTCCGGATGGTCCTACAAACCCCTTCTTGCACTGGGGTGGTCGAAGCCGGAGATCGAAGTTTTTCTGGTTGATGTGCGAAAAAGCATTCAGAATCGTGACGTCCATAGTTACCTGGACTTCTATGTCGTAACGGGGAGGAAGCCGCGCCCTGGCGAGCAAGCCTCCTGAAAGCCTTGTCATCACTTCCACTGTCCTTTTCCCTTCCCGCTGCTATCTTTTGGGGCGTCTCCACGAAGCACTTTTTGGCTGCATTGCATAAGATACCACCAGCTTCACAGTATTCCATGCATTACAGGAAGGCGTGCAGGGGTTCTGCTTCTTGATCTCATATTTTGGTTATATAATCCTTAGATGTCTGGAATGGAATCACATTGAACAATATTGTAGTCTGCCTGGAGTGAGTACTATTGTCTATGTAGAATCGTCATCAGTCCCAACTGCTTTACTTCGCTTGGGAGATTTGACAATATGTTTTGAATCCAACCACTGGCTTGACGGGAGTAACATGGCCGTCTGTCATCGTCTTTTAGTGCCAGCTTATGTCAATAGGATGCCTATGACGTGCTTCAGTCACTTAGCCCAGACCTGAAGCCCAAAGCGACTGTGGTTGGGGCCGCCGCTTAGTCATCCTCTCGGAACTCGAACATCAAACTCTCCGCAAGCTTCATTTCATGCTAACGTCTCTGCGAGGTCGGCACAGCTCAGTTGCACTCGAATGCCCCCGTTGCCTCATGTCTCTCGGTAGACATGCCTATCGGCATGCACTACACTCATCTTCCACACATCGCATTGACCACGTGTGGATTAGCGAAGAACTGCTCGCATCAACCTTCCGACGATTCGCAACCAGTCAACGACGCTATGAAAGTCGAGTGCCAGGGCCTTTGGAAGCAAGAAGACGTCTGGCCAAGCGACGAAATACTGCATTGGCCGGTATAGCCGGCTCAGGACCTCTAGAAGATATTGCGTGTTTGTTTGGACGAAATGGGCGGGAACACATGAAATGGACGGACCGGGAGGAACGAAATGTTCACGCGGAGGGCCATGGTAAGAATCTACTACTCCCTGGGCAGACAGATCGTGTTTCTAAATGTACCGAAGATTTGCCTAACTTTCCATTGAACCCGCCGGAGCCTCCTTTGCCGTTCTACAGCGAAAACATCGCCCCGATGGAGGTCGACACATTGAATGGTATCCGGGCATTCCCGGATGCCTCGCACAAAACCTCCCGTGAGCAGGCACTGGAAGAATTTCTGAAGTCGCGTCCATCTGTCACAGCTATCGGGATCTTCGTGCGCCAACTCAATTTCGATCTCCAGCGGGAGCCTACCTACAGCCGCCTAATACTTAAACACCTGCTGCCGCGATCAGCCAACAACGAGGGTGCCATGCAGAAGGTTGTCGAATTCCTCGACGATCCATATCTTAATACTAGAGGGGCTGGAAATTATCTATGCGCTCTTGAGCATACCTTATCAACAGCGGCGATTTTCGGGAAACAGCGGGTGTTTGACGCCGTCATTCGATCTTTGGAGCTAGGGCTCTTACATCCCACTGAGCTTCAAGATATTATAAAGACTATATCGAATGTTAAACTCAAACGATCACATGGATTCACTGCACGGAACTCCAGGTTTCTGGTCAATTTTCATCGGGAGATGTGGGACGCCATCGGACGTTGTGATATCTATCGACACAAGGATCTTAGCAAGGATATAGTCGATGCATGGCTAAGCATCCTTTGCGAAAGAAAAACTTATGACGGCTTCATACTGGCGAAGGACATGATTCTGGCGACCCAAGATCCTAGTTTAGCTGATTATCGATGGGTGCCTATTCTGATTGCATGCTGGCTACAGGTTTCGGCGAAATCACGGCATAGCAGCAATCGGCATTATATCAAGGAGCTTTTGGGTTATTTCCATCCCACTGCCACATCTGAAATTATTATCCGCACAACAGAGTATCTGGTGTCTACGAAGATGGGCTACTTGCTTGAGTGGCAGCGCCGCTTGGCCGAGCTTGACAACATAACGAGTGTTGTCTCTTCACCGATATGGGTCGATGTGCGCACACAACATACTGCCGAGTCATTGGGATCTACACAAGAGGAGAACTCGACACTATCATTCAGACACCAAATCATCTTGCGCATTTGGACGTTGCGGGCTCTTAGCAAATATCTCCCTCAGGGTCCTCTTTGGAGAAGAGATCAGAGGGTGACTGACTCGCCGATAACCCATCTCTGCACAGACTACCAATCTACTCTCGACAAGGGCGGTTATGAGGACCTCCTAAGCAGCTTGATGAGGGAAATCCACACCCTCGGCATACCATCTAACGGCCTGCTGATGTCGGTTGTGGAATTGAAGGCAGCAAAGCGCACGACGCGAGCTCAAAGACGGACACTGGAGAAACTCGAGACGACAAAGGTGTCTTTCACAGAGATGTTCTCAGACATTCATGCTTACAACGCGTCAAACACCCATTTCTTCTCCGTCTATGAGAAGATGGCACGGCAAATCGATGTCACCGACCCTTCGTTCGTGAAACATGCGATTGAGATCGCCAGAGACGGGAACCTTCAAAAAATCGGGACACTGATCCGTTTGTTTCGTTGCCACACTCCCCTCAAGATTGCGATATCGAGCCTTTGGCCGCGTGTCCCGGACCCCTCGGAAAAAGCTCTGGTGCGCTATAATGCAGAGCCAAGAACCGCTCTCTGTCCAGACCCTCATCTGGCGGTAGAGATGCTGCACCTCTTTGCTGTTTCTCTCGCATGTTCGAGGAACGTCAGCCCGCGCCGTGCCTATGCGCTGGTCCACTGGCTCTACGATTTCCTGATGAAGCACAACGCGCACGTGAAACCGTCACTTGTGCGCGCCATGTATCATGCTGGTGTGTTGCGTTTCCGAAGAGCAGGGTTGAACGTTGCGCCGACTCAATATGCCTACATCCTTGAGCGCGTGAAAGAAATTGAGACACCGGAAATGGTGCAAGCCCTCATGGAGCCGCCGCGCGTGGGGGAAAGCGGGAAGCGATCAAACTCGATCTGAGGACAGATGACTTGAGGTGCAGTCATTTCGTGGGAAACAGGCAATAGCCTATTCTGTATATAGCTACCTTGTCTCATCATTATAGAGACGTCATGTCAGACTGCGGAGGCATGATCACGCCGTATATTTAGCATGGACGGTCAAACCAATTTCCGAAGAGTTACCCTCCTGTATCTGACTATGCGGTGCGAACTTTTACTATCTCTCATGACGATATTGCTAAGTTTAGCTTTCCTCAGTAGGATAATATTTAAGACATGCAATTGATCCTTTAATTAGATTCTTGATGCGTCACAAGAAACAACAGACAATAAAATAGATCATGTTTAAGCTCTTTCTACCGTTGGATTAATCACGAATCTACCTCCATGAGATTTGGATCCCCAGAGACATCCTCCACAGTCACATATTTTCTCATGTCCTCTTTGGTGATGATTTTCTCGTTCAGGTAGGCCGTTGTGCCCCTAGGGAAGCGGTAGTTGCGCTCTTTCTCACCACGCTCGTTGGGCCTCAAGTAGTTGCGCAGTAGCTGCGTGGGCTTATCCTTCTCGATGACGCACACGTCAACGTTGCTACCGGAGCCCAAGTCGTTGAAGATACCGGCTTTGATAGCTTCCGAAGCCAGAGCGATAGCCTCTTCGCGGTTCAGCTGCGGTTTCCACATCGACTCAAAAACAGACATGGCGGCCAGCGAGCCAGAGCCCATGGTGACGTAGGGGAGCTTGTCGGTTGAACCGTGGGCGTGGACGGTGAAAAGACCGATGCCCGTCGGGTCAACGCCCGCGACGACCAGATAGGCGCCGATGTGTCCCTGGTATCTGAAGAGGTGCTGCTTCAACATGGTCATGCAGGTAATTACTCGTGGGGGCCGGCCCGTCGACAGAGAGTGCAGTTCGACGTTGGAGCTGATCAGGGCGGTTGTGAATTCGGTGTCTGCAGCTGTACCGGCTCCAGCACACCAGATTTTGGGGGCGATGTAGTGAAGTTTCTCGCAGTTCTACGTAGGATCAGGATGATTAGCGTTGACACGTCTTCTAGAAGCTTGTATATGTGTAACGTACCTTGTCTGCGACTATAGGACCACTCGTAGCTCTGGTATCTGCGGCGATCTGTTGTAAGGGTAAGATTGAGTGAGCTTCCGGACAGTCCATCATCACTAGTGATTATTTGGTAAATTCCATCATCACCTACCACAACGCCATTATCGAAGATACAACCCACGATTGTTGTACCAGTACTTGTCGCTTTCGGGAGAGGCACACCTTTGGCGTGTAGAGCCGCGTTGCGATTGTAGTTGGAGAAGTCGAAGCCTGCCATATTCACGGGCGAGGAGAGGGATAGGCAAGGATAGGCAGGATAGGCAAGATAGGGGACGAGCGACGCAAAATTGTGTTAGGATAAGTGGTTCAGGATCAGGTAGTCGTTGTGGAACAGGTAAATGAATCAATGGAAGCAACACGAGAAGCTTGAGGAGCTAGGTAGTCGGTGATGGGCGGCGGAGGAGCTGGAACTGCTGGAGTGACGAAGCTACCGCCGCCTAATCGCTTATGCCTGAGGCAACAAGGCCTGCAACGCGCCCAGAGCTTCCGCTGTTTTTGTTCCGCCGGAAATTATAATGATTATGCTCGAGGCCTCACTTTTGCTCGTCGGGCAACACAGAAGATTGCTCTATTGTTGAAAGCCGAACAACTGTTGTCCGGCTAACTCAGTCTGGCCGCCTCGCTAATCTTCCACTCTTGATACTCTCCCTTCCTTTGAGGGGATATCCAAGATTTTTTGCGCGCACTTGGAAGCTTTTCAACCGGAGTCCCCAAGCTCTCCAGCGTCGCTCGTTTCACACCTCCACCGCATAGCCCACCTTCTCCCCATGCACCAAAGTTCAGTCTATCTTTAGGCGACCGTCCTCGATTAATTTCGTCTGACCTCGACAGCCTCAGAATGGCTTTCAATTTCGGGGCTTCCAACCCCGCTGCTGGAGGTCCTGCCGCTGAGTTGGGACCCGAGCTCCCGGATGTTATTGCTGATGTACGTCACCTTCTCATCGTCGTCAGGAATGGTCCTTGTCGTTGTCGGTTGCTGATACAAGAATCAGGAGGTCGGATTCAAAGGTGTTTCCGGTGATAGTAATGTCCGGTTCCTTCCCACCCCCTGGCCTGAAGATGCCCTTCCAGCTCCAACAAGCTCCCTTCTGGCTGTCGCGCCGATCAAAGGAATAGTGGCCGGTGCTGCTCCGAACTCGCTTGTTATCGCGTCGTCGGACGCACTGCGAAAGGCCATCGGCGCAACGACCGGGGAAAGCAAAGTCAAGACTAAACCCTTCGAACCACTAGCGACTTTACCCCTTCCTGCACGACCTACACATGTGGCTTTCGCCTCGGGCGACAATGCCTTAGTCTTAGCGACTGAAAATGGCGCGGAACTTGCGGTCTACCAGACTGCGACTCTGTTGACGGGAAATCCGCAGCCTGCCTTGGCTATCCCGATGAACGGCACGACTCTTCGCGCCATGGTACCCAATCCTGCACCGTCAGAAGATATCCTTTCATCTCTGGTCGCGCTAGTCACAGCAAATGGCGAGCTCTTGATTGCCGATCTGAAAGGAGTGAATTTAATCCGGGGACCTAGCGGTCAGGTACTCAGGACCGGAGTAAGCTCCGTATGCTGGAGTAACAAAGGAAAACAGCTTGTGGCTGGTCTTGCAGATGGAACAGCAGTTCAACTAACTCCTGACGGGACCCAAAAGGACGTAATACCCCGCCCTCCTGACCTGGAAGGCGATTGTCATGGTACGTTGGGCTATTTACACATCGTGAGTTCCGTTACTAATCTCGAGTAGTGTCGTCCATTGCATGGCTTGAAAATGACATATTCTTGATGGTATATACACCAAATGCGATCGAAGATGATATGGGTCAGACGCCTCCGTCTTCGTACTATATCATCACCAGAAGAAAAGGCGCGCCCTTCCTGGTTCAGAAGATGCCGGAACTGTGCATGCCATTTGGCGTCAACCGCGCCCCAGCCTACCAGTTTATCGCGCGTCTGAGGGACTACAAGCCGCACTTGAGAGATATCCTAATCGTATCCTCTACAGCATCTACTGATATAGGACTTATCACGCGGTCCGATCAACCACTAGCTAGCGATGACGCTGCCAAAGGCACCGTGGGTCTCTTTACAACAACAGAGGTCAATGACGACACAAAGAGAGCCTCACTCCCTTTGAGTGAGGCCACTAGTGATACTTCAGTAATCGGACTAGGAGTTGACCTCTCTAGCACGGAGCCCGTGGTTTCCCCAATCCAAGGGGAAGACATTGCCGAAAGTTCCACACCTCTGCCCAATCTCTTCCTCTTGAACAATGAAGGCATACTGTGCTCTTGGTGGATCATATATTCTGAGTCTATTCGCCAGAAACTGCCCTACCATGGCCTGGTCTCGGTAAGCCCGCAACAACCGCAACCGCAACCGCAACCTCAACCACAACCGCAAGCAGCAGAACCAGCACAGCCTACCACGCGACCTGCGTTCGGACAGCCTGCATTTGGACAGTCTGCCTTTGGCAGCCATTCGGCAATGGGGTCGTCGACGTTTGGCAGCCCCTCAGCTCTAGGTAGCCGACAACCTGCCTTTGGAACACCATCGGCTCCCAGTGGCCCATCATTTGGATCGCCGTCCCAGATTAAACCTTCATTCGGCGCCCCTAGTACTCTGGGGCCCGCAACGCCCCAATTTGGCCAGTCGGGCTTTGGAGCCAGTGCTGCGCCAAGTTTTGGGCAACCGTCCACCCCAGGTAAACCGCTCTCTTTCGGTACGCCCAGCGCTGCCTCAGGAGGAGGATTTGGCTCGTTTGCGAATGCAGGAGGATTCTCCAGCTTTGCAGCATCCAAACCGGCAACAGAATCTCCCTTTGCGAAAGCCACCGGCGAATCTCCTTTTGGAAAACCAGCCGCTGAATCACCTTTTGGCAAGGTGTCAACCGAGAGTCCTTTTACGAAGCCTTCAGGCCCATCGATTTTCGGCGCCCAGGCTCAGGCTGAGACAGCTTTCACACCTCAGAAGGCGGACGAATCTAAGGGTGGCTTTGGTGGCTCAAGCGGCTTCGTAGTTGGTTCCACTTTTAAGGGTGACGGCACTGCTGTCAATGATGGTCCAAAGCCTGACAAGACATCTGGGTTATTTTCCTTTGGCACGTCTCTGGACGATATGATGTCCACACCTGATAAGACCAGTCCGCCAACGGAGTCGATGGACGATACCGAAGATCAGCCTGCGGTAGCCCAACCCGAGAGACCAGCAGCAAAGGAGCCTCCAGTGTTTGGCGCCCCTTCTAAAATCGATACCTCAAAGGCGACATCATTGTTCGGTGCTCAGACGCAACCTCAGCCAGCCACACAAACAAATAAGTCTACCTTCTCCTTGTTCGGAAACGTCGCTGCGGAGAAACCGGTCACCAGTCCCCTATCTCCGCAGTCGGAAAAGACAACTGTCGCTAGCTTAACGCCCAAGGCGGAGAACATCTCCATTGCCGAGCCGCCTCTCCCTCCTGAGCCAACAAGCAGGGCCGAGTATGGCCCGGGCGATACCTCTGCATCTTCCAACGTCTCTAAGAGCTCGGTCGAAGATGTCAAACTGGAAGCACCGCTCCCACCTGATTTCACGAGCAAGATCAAAGGCAAGGCGGGAAAGCCTGCGGCAGACGAGGCTCCATTGCCTCCAGAACCGGCAGTTCCTGAGTCGCCTGCTGCCTCTGATGAAGAGGCTGGTCCGCTGCCTGAAGAATCAGACGTGGATGAGTCCGAAAAAGAGCCGAGTGAGGAGGCTGATGAATCTGACTTCGCCGATAGCGGAGAGGAAATCACCCATGAGATTGATGAAGAAGATGAAGAGCCCGAAACCACTGGCCAGACACCGAAGATTTCACCAGAGAGTTTTTTTGGAGCTGGCATCTCTGAACAAAGTCCCGCCGGAGGATTGTTTTCTCGCATTTCCAGGCCCGGGCAGCAACAACCGCCGCGACAGTTGTTTGGGGAGATTGCTAAATTCCCACCGAAAACTCATCTCGACCGCGAACCCCCGAGGTCGCCCAGTCCAGTGCGAGGGGCCATTCCAAAAACCCTGCTGAAGCCACAGATCCACAAATCGGCCAGCGCTCCTCAAATTCCGGGTAGCACACTTGCTGCCCGCAAGGCTGCTTTGACCGAGGCAGCTCTGCGCGATCAACGTCTGCAACAGGAGTCTGATCGCACTGCCCGTGAACAGCAGGCCCGCTTGAAGATTCAAGCACAAAGAGAGGAGGAAGAAGCATTATCCCTTTCCGACGATGACGAAGATGAGAGACTCCGCGCGGATCTTGCTCGACCACTGGAGCCTGTTCCAACACTCGATCCCTTCCTGCCACACCAGGACTATATGGGTCAAACCACAAAGCCAGGAATTCCCGGTCAAATCGAGAGGTTATACCGTGACATCAACTCAATGATTGATACGCTAGGCATCAACTCTCGGGCCCTGTCGTCCTTCCTTCTATATCAACAATCGCCGCGAGACTCCGAGAGATGGATACAAACCTTGAAGACGGATCATCCAGCTGACGTTTTAGACGCGGAGGTGCTTCTCGGCGAAATCGAAAAGCTGGACGATGCTGTGCTTATGCTTGCCAATTCTCTCCAGGAGCAGCGGGTGCAACAAGTAGAGGAGAAGCTTGAGACCTGCCGAGAATTACTGAGCAAAGACATTCTCACTCTCAGAGGCCAGTGTGCAAGCATTCGAAAGACCCTTGACGCTCATACTGACACGGCTGCGATCCTTTCTGCACCTCTTTCCGCGGAGCAAGCGAACCTCCAGCAAGACCTCCGGTCTGCGTTTACAAACCTACAAGCAAGTCTGGCGGACTTGGAATCTGCCGTATCAATATTGCGGGCTAAGATCGCTGAAGCCCCTCGGCCAGACAGCAGCCGCCAGCCAACGAAGCGCCCCACTGTGGAAGCTGTGACATCTACAATCGCAACTATGATGAACATGGCCGAGAGCAAGAGTAGCGATATTGATGTTCTGGAAATTCAATTGAAGAAGCTCGGGATCGATACAACAGGTCCTCCGGTCAGCCGGGAAGGATCCCCATTTGCCACACCGAAAAAGGCGTTGGCGAGATTTCCTACGACACCTGGTTCTCGTGGATCTATTGACGGGCCTCTCAGTGCGTATCACACTCCAGATTCCGCAGGCAGATTCCGATCGAGCATCAACGGGTCAGCCAAGGCTAGCCGGCTACGGAATATCGAAGGCGTTGGCGAACTGGCCACCAAGGAGGAGACGGCACAATGGAAGAGCAAAATGTTGCGTAGGCAACATATTGTTGGCAATTTGAAGAAGGTGATTGAAGCAAAGAAGTCCAAGGTCCGGGGTGTGGATGATTTGTAGGGCTGTATCATAGTCTGTCTTCTATGTTTGTCGGGCTGCAAAACAAGGCGTCATGGCGTGGTTTGAGCAATGCCAACAGTCATTGTCTGTACATAGATTCAGGTATGGTTTGGTTCAGTTGTTGGTATCTTTAGTACCAAGTTAATGGTTGAAACTTCTCTTGCCTTAAATGCATTGCTCATGATAACTCGAAGATGCTGCTTATGTGTTTTTAGTGCAGTTCCACACTATACCCAAAGTTGGGTCTCATGAATAAGAGGAACTGACATCATCCCCACCACTGACATCAACAAAAACAACTTCATTTCACTACTCCGCATCCGATCGAGCTTCTCCTCTAATAATCACAAGCCAGCCCAAAGAATAGACTAGTCAAACATCCTTTGACTTGCACACTTTACTCGCACCCACCGATATCCAACCCACTTCCAATACAAATACCCGTCAAGAGAACAAAATGGTCGTCCCAGTCACCGAGTTCGTCATCTTCAAATTGAAACCTTCCGTAAAACCAGAAGACCACTCAAACGAGGAAGGCGCATCCCTATGCAAGATCTTCTCCGCGACAAAACAACAAAGCGGACATCAGAGCTCCGCATGGGGGAGGACAGTCGAGGACGAGAATGTCGTGGTGTGGGCAGTTGGTGAGTCCCAGCAAAAACCAAAAGAGCTTCTCACTTGAGACTAGCTTGTATCTATCAGGAGATTTTCTAATGGTTCCGTGTGAAAACAGTCTGGGAAGACTCCCACGCCAAATGCCAAGCAGATCTCCTTGCCCCATACCTCGAACCAGACTCGGATGTCCTCTCGTTCTACACAACGCTTAACCCATCCCCCTCTGAGACGGATACTTTTACCACGAACCCGGTCACGGAGCTGGCGACGTTGGCTTACCCCAGTTCGCTGAATCCCGATGAGCACAAGAAGCTCAATTCGGATCTGATCAACTTTCGCGTGGCGCTGACAGAGAAGCTGTCCGAGAAATCGCGGCCGAAGTCCTGGACTATGGCGCAGGTCCACCGGCCCGGGACGTTCCAGCATCCGAAGAGTCCGTCTGGGGAGGCATTCGTGTATCTTATCGCGGTGGGATGGGAGAGCGTGGATGCCCATATGGCGGCTAGGGAGACCAAGGAGTTTCAGGAGTCCATTAAGCCGATTCGAGAGAAGATGCTTCCTGCGGTGCAGGGACTGGGCATGAAACACGTCAGCTTCAAGAAGATCTGATTCCTCGTGAAGCAAAATGTTGCGTTGGATTGTAGGAGTGGGCGAGCACAAGGAGCAAAAATAAGAGCACACATGGATTACTATGAGTACTGAAGTGATACGCAGTGGGACAGACAGCGCCTTAAGAAGTAAAGTACAACGCAGAATATACCCGAGAGAAACATCAAAGCCTCCAAGAACATAGTAGACTTTTTGCATGGAACATAGACGATCGGCTTGCTCCAGGACACAGGGAATTGAAACTTAGTCTTCTCAAATGCGGTGTTTTTCGCTTTCTGGATAGCCATGGTTCGGTTAGCACTGATGTTGGCTGTCAAGGTTCTTAGAAGGAGTACTAACCAAGTCGCGAGTAAAGCATATATAGAGCCATTTGGTTGCATTCCTGGGTCCCGGTAATGGTCACCAGGCGCTCATTGCTGTTCTCTTGGGGCTCATTGATCTTGATCACACTGCCACTGAGGTGTCGGATCTCATTGATCTTAGCACCACCCTTTCCGATGATGGCACCGACCATGTCATTGGGAATGTAAATCTGCTGCGTCAATGGCTGACCAGGCATAACACCTCCAACGGGTGTGGCGGGGGTAGGGGCGCCGCGTGCCTGAGCGGGCTGCGGTGCGCCGTATGGAGCAGGCTGATGAGGGCCAGCTCCTGCATAAGGGGCATGGGGAGCAGCACCATAATGCAAAGCCGGCTGGGCCACAGGGGCGGGGGCAGGCTGACCGTGAAGGTAAGGGACCCCATAAGCGCCTGCAGCAGCGCGATTGGGGTGGGGCTGGTGTCTCTTGAAGTGTTCTGGATGGCCGTATTGACCACCAGCGGGCTGTGGAACATACGGGACAACCTGCATTCCGCCAGGCACTGCGCCAGCAGGGCCACCGCTGCGAGTGGCATAAGCTGAAGCTGCAGGACCTCCAAAGCGCTCAGTGAGCTGCTCAACGAGGGTTACGGCGACGTAGTAGGTAGCGATGTGGACAGAATCGGCAACGCCGAGGATTACAAGTGACCGCTCAGAGGACAAGGGAAGGCATGAATCGGATGCATTCAGGCGGGCGCCAGAAGCCTCCTGAATCTCGCGAATGCGGGAACCGCCCTTGCCAATGATGGAGCCAATAAGGAGATGGGGGATCAGCAAACGCAGAGGGTATGTCTTGGATTGGGCGGTAGAGGGGGCATCAAGAGGTTCATTGTTCAATGTACGAATGATCAAACCAAACGCCTACTTGGAATTAGCAGTCTTTCACAGAGCGGATGATAAATCGGAAACCAACCTTGGCAACGGCATCCTGTGGGCCGCTCACGGTCAAAATACGTTCAACTGCACCACGGGAGTAGTCGCTGACAGTGCACTTGGCCCCAGACAAACGACGAATTTGAGATACGTTTTCTCCACCCTTGCCAATGACTGTGGCAGCTTCCTGGCTGGAGATTACAGCGCGAATGTGAATCCAGCTGGACTCATCTTGTGGGCGCTGCTGTTCGGGCTGAGAAGTAGCGCGCTCGCCATGAGACGCAGTTGACTGAATTGGCTGCGTTTCCGTGGATGCACCCTTACCATTTGGAGCATCGGGAACAACAGTGTCGCCCTGGCCATCAGCGGCGGCACTTGGTGCAGCGGAAGGCTCAGCCTTGGCATCCGTATACGCCTCCGACTCGTCTCCCTTTACTACTTTGTCCAAAGCAGGGCGCTTTGCTTCTGGCTGATCATTCGGTCCGGACGGCGAAGAGGGGTCCTCCAAGGGACGCTTGGTCGATTGCAGTGCGGATGGAGAAGCAGACATTGTGTCAACAGTGCAGTCTGGCTTCACTTACGCAAGAAGGCGAAGTGTCAAGAGAATAGCTTTCTTTTTCTTTTCTTTTGTTTCTTTGTTCTGCCTGAACTGACCGACTATGTACACCAGGAGTTCCCAATAAAACTTGCTGGTGCAGGCGATCGACTGGGAAGGGAATCTGGTGCTTGGAATGACTAGGAAAATTGGTGTTCGTGCACAGTGAAGAGAGCAGAGGCTGGTGGAGGAAGGACAGTCGACGAGGAAGATGTGAAGAGGCTGTGTTACCACGGGCGTTGGCTGTTGGAGCAGGAAGCTTCACCAAGATGAAGCAGTGCTAAGATAGGAGGGTACGATGAAGCGAAGAGGAAGTGATGCTGGATGGTGATGGTAGTGAGAACTCAGAATCCGGACGTGCTCGAAGGCTGCCAATAGGGCGTTGGGGATAATATGATGAAATATTAGAGCAGACTAAAGCCTTGAGCAACTGCCAAAAATCCAGACGTGCAATTCCTCCGCAAAAAAAACGCGTTGTCTCCCAACACGGAGGCTGCTGAATTACCGCCACGCAGTAATAGCCCAAAAGGGACTCGTCGCAGCTGGAATCAACACCAAGGACTGAAGAAACAAGTGAGCAGCAGCTATTTGCCTTTGTAGCTGCACAAAAGACGGGAATTAAGTGAATGAGGTTAGATAGAGATGAGGATGGATCAAGAAGCGTCCTCCAGATGTAGCGATGAAGAGATGATGTTGCAAGAAGAGGTGAAGCAAGCTGGCGGCACGGGGTCACGCTAGGCCACATAGGGCTAGAAAGGGGACGCCATCACGTGAGAGCCGCAATTGTTGTCATTAACATCACAAACAGTCTTCGTTCAGTTGCTGGGTGTCCTGAAGCATAAGGAGACTTGGGGTAAAGTCAAGCAATAGGCTCTTTGACAGGTCAGGATTCCACAGGAATAGATAATACCACTATGGATATCTCTCAAGAAACCGTTGATAAAATCCAACATTTTGCGCAAAAGCGCCAAAAAGCGGAGGAGGTCTACGACGAACACCCGATAAATCCAGCAAACTTCGACGCTTACAACCGCAAGTTGGATGAGACGTTGGCGGAACTACAGGCTCAAATCAAACGTCATGAAGATGAGCTCCGCAAGGTACGTCAATGAGCGCCTGGAATATAAACCGACTGTCGCAAGAGACATCAGGCATGAATGAGGAATACTGACAGGAGAAACAGCTACGCATGACCACCACGATTGATCTCGTTCAAATCGGGGCAGATCCTTGGGCTCGCGTCTCCCACGCGCGCAGAGCCAAGAAAGCGTATGATGCTCTTCTGCAATCGGAAACGCGACTGCCGAGTCCAGGCTCGCCGTTGCCTTCTCTGCTTGCGGTTGACGAGGCATCTCGTCTCGTCAAGGAGAGTAAGACCTCCATTTCACTGACGGCGGAGAAACTGTCTGCGGACCGTCAGCGCTTGAAAGTGGAAGAAGCCAATTTGCGCGATGCACAATTGATCAAAGACGGGTTAGAAAAAAGGATTGAGCGGCTAAACGCAGAAAAATCGAGTCAAGTCCAGAAAACTCCTGCGCAGCTTGCGCATGATCTCATCAAAGAGCAACAGGAAAAGATCGAGAAACTTGACACTACCACAGAAGAGCTGAAGACCTCTCTCTATAAATTTGTCGAAGGTACACTTGCCCCAATGCTCGCTGCAGAAAATCTGGGCGGTCCCACAGTCGGAGATGCAATGGAAATTTCAGATGCTGCCTTGAAAGCGGGCTACACTAGCCATGGGAAGCCTAAGAAACCAAAGACCCCGGCCGTGGGGGCTTATGATAGTGGCCAACAGCGGATTGACGAGCTTGTTCGTCGCCAATCTGCTCAGGAGGGCAACGAACAGGCAACCCCTATGAACAAAAGAGAGGCGGCGGCGGCTGAGATGCGAGCTCTTCTTACTGCTCTGCTAGATGCGGATTACTCCTACATAGACCTTCCGCACGAGTCAGCGGCCTCGCGCTTTCTAGTAAGAGCCAAGGTCGCTCAATTCCATCCGCGTGATGCCAGGAAGCTGCGGTTGATTGATTTTGGGCGCTCATTAGTCGATTGAGATGACCACATGTACCGTGCTACACCCCCCAGCTTATAAATGGTATCACATTCCCCAAACACCTGGGAAAAAGACAAACAATCAGACGCCATCCCCACGGATATATAGCGGCTCAACCCAGTAAGAAATCTAGAACAGGCAAAGACCACGTTTTTCAAATCAGAAGCGGTTCCGGAACCACGGGCGGCAAAACGCCTGAAAATGCGAGAGATACATCAAAAGCTCATCAAAAAGTTCAATGCTCGGTCCTTGAAATATACCGCTAATGGCATAAATGAAACATGGAAGACGAAAGACCGTAGGCAGTTATCAGAGCGGCATCATTCCGATGCTGGTAGAAGTACTCTTGGCCGTATTCTTTGCTTTGGACCCAGTTCGGGAACCAGCAGAGCGCTTGTCGATATGACCACTCGGCTTCTTTCTAGGTCTCGGTGTTTTCGTCCTTGAACTCGAACCGGTAGCGTTCTTGCGGTGGGATCGCTTCTTGGATGAAGTCTTTCTTTTCTTGGAACGGTTAGTCTGGGTGTCTTCATACCCGTCGGATGATTCGGATTCCGCCCCTGGCTGCGATGGGAAGTATCGACTTGAAACAACCTTGTCTTCCTCCTCAAGATCCACGAATAGATCATCACCATCGCTGAACTCGTCCTCGTCGTCCGAGAGATTGTACACGTTATGATGGTTGGGATCCGGAACAACATCGTCGTTATTGTCACGTTCCTGTTTCAATTCCTCATACCGACGCTGAGCATCGCGTACGAGCTTCAGTATCTGTGTTCCGTATCGATTGACCTTATCTGGTTCTATTCCAGGGATCTGAGCAAGTTCGGACAGGTCTACCTGATATGAGCATACTCCTACCTGGCTTGAAAAGTAATGGTTCACTCACTTTTAGGAAAGACTATGGCCATTTCGCGCAGAATCCCGTCACTGAAAGGCTGGTTTCGAAGGTTCTTCTTGAGAACCAACTGCCATGAAGTTAGCAATTATGGCGATGATGAGTATGATGGGACACCCTACGTCCTGACAGAAGTTCTTTGCATAGAACATGAAGTCCTCGGCGACTGTTTTATGGAGAGAATCGAGGCTGTCGAATCGCTGGTCACCGGTGATCGGCG